ATAAAATGTTTATCAAGCTTCTAGTTGTAATTTAGTTGCACATTCTAATCTTACGCTTGTAATTGAAGCCAAAGGTTCGATGACTAACTTAATGCCCAATTACACCTTTTGTAGAATTTCTAAACCATATTTTAAATTTTATGGAGTTGAATCATTTTCCAATTTGAGATCATTTAAAATTAGATCTCTCCTTTTTTTTTTTCAATTTGATGCAAAGACAATAAAATGTTAAGAAAAGTATAAGGCCTGTTACTGGGAAAATTGTTCCAAAAACTACTCCGAAAATTGTACCACAATCATCGCATTCTTATGATTTTGAATTCCCTACTCCCTCCTACTAAGTTATTCTGAACACCAGAGCAAATAGAATTAAAAAATTCATTAAATCTAAGAAAATTACTAATAATTTATGTTCATAACAAATTATTATATATATACTATTTTTCATTTAATATAACAATTTTTTGTGAACCACTTTTTTAAATTATATTTTAATTCAATTTTTATCCCTTTTTATTTGCATAAAAATAGGCAATTTCTTTGATATCCGAACCAAGTAAATTATTGATTCAAGTAAAAAAAATAATGTTTTAGTAATTCTTTATGTTTTTATAATTCAAATAATAAATTTCGTACTTTTTACAATTAATGTAGTATATTAAAAGAGATAAGTTATTAAGAATTAGGAACTCAAGACCTCATTAAGCTCACCTCTTTAAAATTATTATTAATAAGTGGTTTTGATAAAAAAAAGAGCTCTTTATATTAATTATATGACGGTTAGACATGCAAATTTATTTTTATTAAGATTGAATTCTTATGAAAATAATTCTATAATATCTATAAGAAGTTTAAGCCCATTGCATTTAAAACATTAATCATCATTTGCTAAATTGAAATCTTTATCATAAATTATTAGTAAACTTCAAATCCTAAGTAAATTTCATTAAATCAATAGTAATATAAAAGCAATTTGCCTTTGAACCAGCAAATCTCAGTAGCATTAAATGCAACAAAAGAATTGATTTTAACGAACAATAATAAATTTGAGATACTGCAATTACATTTGTTAAGCATATATCAAAATTCAAATGCTTCTCTATATCAAATTGGAAAACTTTGCCACTTTAAATTTCAAATGAGTTAAAAGCTATTTCCTTGAAATTATTGTAATTAGATGAAAATTACGATTCTTATCTAGTCAAGTATTAATTTAATCTGGCAATAAATTTCATTCTAAACTATAATTAATATGATAATTCAATAAAGAAAGACTATGGGAAACATCGGATTTAACATCTATTATGAATAGATTAATTATTCTCTTTAATAATCTCATTAGATGATGCTTAACATTGATTTAGTGATATTAAAATATTTTATTAATTAAAGATACATACATCATTTATTCTATTATAATCTGCTTATTTTAGGAATTAGTCTTAGAGGATGACACCTTTGGCTTAATAAATCTAATTTGATTTTGTTAATGTATAATTCTTTAACTAAGTTTTAGCGCATATTATGAGTGAGATAATAAATAGATATTGTTAATTAGAATTCAGATATAAAATTAATCAATTAGATTGATTTAAAAAGGACAATAATGAAAATTTGGTGTGGAAAAACTGCAATGTGTCTTTAGAAATACATTATGTTGGCAATATATCATTAAGTTAAAGCAATGAGAATGTTACTATAAGTATATAAATTAAAGATTTTATAGAAGATGAATAGTAAAAAAATCAGTAAACCATAAGTAATTTATAATTTGTTCAATTTTTATACTAAATTTTAGCGATCTCTACCTTATCCTTCCAAATTACTATCCATATGCCAGCTCTTTTTCCGTTTTCATAGTTGCCATGATGAGTTATAGAACCTTGTTCAAACTTTACATATTCAATCCACTTCCCAATTTTAATACCATCAATCTAATCATAATGTCCACCAGTACTAAAATAATATTAATGATATATTATAATCTTTTACATCTATTCATTTGGTTCGCCTTTTGTCTTTAACACAATATCCCACCTGCCTACCTTTTTACCAAGGTTATATTCACCACAATATAATATTTATATTTGTTAATTTATGCTTTCATCGAGATAAATCCATTTCCCAATCTTAATGCCATCACCTCTTTCATCATATAATCCACCACCGCTAAAAGTTGATATTCTATTTAATATATTTTACATTTATTAATAATTTCCCCTCTACTAATTCCAATGAAGAATAGTCCACATACCAACCTTATTACCATATTTATACTCTCCAGCTTAAATTAGTTCAAAATTCTTATCGTATCTATCACTTATATCAATCCACTTTCCAATCTTAATGCCCTCACCTTTATCATCATATGACCCACCACCACTAAAACTTTCAATAATTTCTAATACATTTATTCTCCTGAAGCCAAACAAGTGCTCCATCTCCCAATTTTTCTCCCTTCTAAATACTCACCATGATAAATGATTTATTTCTCTTTATAAAAGCCTTCATCCAAATCAATCCACTGCCCAACCTTATTAGCATTACCTTCTTCATCATAGCATCCTCCACCACTTATATTTATATGTTAATTAATTTCTTATACATCTATTTTATGGAAGAGAACCAAGTGTTCCATCTCCCAATTTTTTTACCGTTTTTATATTCACCATGATAAGTAATTTGTTTCTGTTCATAAAATTCATTATCCAAATCAATCCACTTTCCAATCTTAATGCCATGGCCTTCCTCATCATAATAACCACCACCACTAATTCAATAATAAAATATTATAAGAGAATTTTACACTTCCTAAGCATAATACTTCAACTACCAATGCCATCTACCAATTTTTTTACCGTTTTTATACTCTCCCCTGCAACTGAGTTAATTATTCCTAATTTTATTGATGTCCATAGTTATACCTATCAAACCTATTACCAAATTCAATCCATTTCCCAACTTTCTTTGTTAATCCAATATCAATCTCATAATATGAACCTCCACCACTAAAGGAAAAGTGCTGAAATAATATTTTTACATATTTTTCCATCCAAAACTTGTATTCCATCTACCAATTTTATTATTATTCTGATAATCCCCTTTCCAAGTGATTAAACTTGAACTAATTAAAAAATTATATTTAAGGTATAAATACTTCCTAAATCCCTCATTCAATTCAACCCATCTGCCTTATTTAATTGCCTCAGGAAATTATCCATCTATCTTGTCTTCATACAATCCACCCCCACTATTTAATAAATCTAAGCTTAAATTTACATCAATTTAAAAGATTTTTCATCCTTTTCCTTCCAGTAGATTTCCCATCTACCAATTTTTATATCATTTTTATATTCACCAAAATAAATGACTTTACTGGAACTACAATTTGACATTTATTTAAAATTCAACGTACCTTTAGAGCAAACTACTCAACTCATGCCATTTGCCTTATTTCATACCAAGACGGCTTTCATCCTCCTACCCGTCATCATATTCTCCAAAACCACTTATACAGGTAAATTAACACATTTAGTAAATATATTTACATCTAATGAATTGATCCATAATCATCCATAATCATATAAACCTCCCATTTCCCTACTCTGATACCTTTCTAATATTCTCCCACATACATAACTTAATTATTACTATATTAGTAAAAGGTTTACCTATGAAATCCATCACTGGGCTCAAACCATTTGCCTATCCTAAATGATTCACTTCCTTCTTAATTATCATATGATCCACCGCCACTAAGAAATAGAGAGTATTATTAGAATAGTATTATACATCAACTCAAATTGCTAATAAATTGTTTCCCTATATTAGAAGTCCCATCTGCCTACTCTCTTGCCATTTTTGTATGCACCCTCAAATGTGATTTAACTTTTACTAATCAATAAAATTGATATCG